AAGTCGATTTTCCCTTAACTTATCTCCTATGTGTGCTACCTCTATTTTTTACAAATATGATCATTCCTAATTCTATCCTTCATAGTTTTACTGCACATCCATCTTAACATTCTCATTTCTATCACACTCAATGTTTTAACAAGTTCTTTCTTAGTTGTCCAACACTCAATACCATAAAACATAGTGAGTATTATGAACGTTCTATAGAACTTTCCTTTAAGCTTAAGGGGTGTGCATCTATCAAATAATACCCTAGATGCATTCCTACATTAATTTAATGAGTAACATCGACACCAATGTCACACTCTATGGATCTCTTGATCTTAAATTTTTATTACTTCCCTGTTGGTTTACTAAAGTTACATTTCGTATATTCAGTTTCAGTCCGACTTATCTTGAATCCTTTTGATTCTAGAGCTTCTCGTCATATTTCTTGTTTATTATTCATTTCTTCTTTATTTTTATCAACTAATACAATATCATCTGCAAATTACACATATTATGGGAGCTCATCCAGAATGTGTTTGTGAATTCATCCACAATCAATGCAAAAAAATATGGACTCAAAGAAAAAAACATAATATATGCCTACAGTGGTTGGGAATTCATTAGTCTCTCATTTTGTTGTTTTCACTAAAGCCACCACATTTTCATATAGATCCTTAATCTCATCAATGTATCTAATAGAAAAAAATTTCTTCTTGAGAACTCTCCCTAATATATCTCTAGAGACTATCATATGCCTTCTCTAAGTCTATGAAAAGGTGGATAAGTCATCTAACCCAAAATAACTAACTAAAAACAATAAAGACAGGTCCTCAAGAACCTACATATTGAAGCTATAAGTGCAAGAGGCTCTCCACCCCATCATAATGCAAAAAAGAGGTAGACCCTTAAAATCCTTAGTGGTCAAATGTCAAAAAAATGTCAAAAGACGTTTGTATGAGTGGTTTGAATGCGAACTTGTATTTGTACGTTGTTATGATCCAAGTATAAGGACCCATACAAGATGTGTTCCATTAACCTTGAGGCTTCTGATATATTGGTCTAGATTCCTCTCGATTGGTATTAGAGCCTCCTCCGCCTCACCGGCTTGACTTGGGAAGGGCAACTCAAAACGAATTGACAATGAGTGGAGTGTCCCCTCAAGTATATAAATCAACCTTGGTGATCCTAATTATTCAATGTCGGATACAAGCTCTTTTAAAATCCTCCCTCAAGGACCCAGGCTCGCATTTGGGGTCAGTAAATAAACAAACAACCATTCATACCAGGATTCAAATGGGTAAAAGACTTAGCTCAATGATCACCTAAGGCCCAACTCTGACACCATGTTGGAGCATCCAATCCAAAATCAATTGGCACCCCTTTAAACCAACCTTGGTGATCCTAACTATTCAATGTGGGATACAACTCTTTTAACACCCTCCCTCTCATGACATGAGCTCCCTCACGTGAGATGTACAAACAAACAAACAACCATTCATACCATGCTAGATCATCCAACCTAAAACCAATTGACAATGGGTGTAGTGACCCCTCAAGTACATAAATCAAACTTGGTAGTCAAATTATTCAGTGTGAGATACAAACTCACAAGGGAGACCAAAAAGCTAGACTAAGTCATGGAGAAAATATGTGGGAAAGGCCTATGTTCTCAGACCACTATCCAAAGCTCGGAAGCATGGTTGTATGTTGCAAGCAAAAGGATCCAGATTTGGAATGTCCCATAAATCACGAAGCTTTTGGTATATATATCTAAATTCTTATCATATACCCACACGCAAGATGGTTGTTTTAAATAGGATGAAGCTCAAAACAAAAAAAGGACAAACTATTTCTTTAAGAGAAGTGACAAACTATATTTTGCAAGCTCTAACAATAGATCTGATGCATTGATAAATGTCGATTTGCACCAGAGTCAATAATTGTGACAACCAAGGTCGCAAGGGTTGAATTTTCATGGCTAAATATTTTTTTTTAAGTGTCTTTTATTGGTTAAATTTTCTTCCATGTTCAGCTTGGTGTTTGCTAAATGTCATGGCCTGCTGCAATTCCATTAAACTAATACCATAGATGGTAAAGATATGGTCAGGTTACTTGAATGAGGCTAAACAAGGCTGTACAGTTAGAAAGGGTTAAAGAAGCTGGAAGTTTGTAAACTCGATTGTCTTAGACAATTTTGATACCCTTTAGAGAAATAAGTATTACTTTCTCTAGAAAATTCGGATTCATGCACGGTTTGAAGAGTTGGAAAGTATACTCAGAGACCTTATGAAGATGAAGAGTAGGACACCAGATTCTGCTGGTGTAAATACAGTTTTTCATTGGAACATGACTAAAAATTGGGGACCAATTTGTAAATTGATGCCCAGAAGAAAACTAATCATAATGTTTTCCTTGGGATTCCGTTTAGAGCCCAAGAGTTGTGCTTAGAAAGCTTAGGAAGTTTACTTTCAAATTAACTTGATCCAAGTTGAGCTTGAAATTGCAAAACAAATGAAAATTAACTGTTTTACCCCCCAGTTTTATTTAGTTATACAATTTTTGACCTAACTAACTTTAAAAATATGCTTAGCTAGTTAAATTGAGGTTATTCCTAAAATTTCACTAAATTGTTCTATTTTTGGCAGTTTTTAGGTCGGTACGCGAATTGAGGTAGGGTTTCAGAAACCAACAAGATTTTTCAAACTCTTTCCAACCTATTTAATTATGCTATTTACATTGTTTAAAATGCTATTTGAGTTATGATTGGGTGAATTGCAATATTTTGGAACTCCGGACTCGGTTAGGGTTTTGTTGTGCATTGTGCGAGGTTAACTGTGTTGAATGTGATGAACTAAAACTCCGAGATCCTTTTGAATGGAATGTAAGTGCACACTGGATGAGAGACAGAGGGTTTACATTCTAGGTTGAGACCATAGTGGGTTTTATTGTGTTCAAAAATGCATAGGTGGCCCGGTGGTCTTTGGGCTTGGGTACCGAATTGATTTGAGGAGCATATATTCCTTAGGGTGTAAGTCCTCTGGAAGGTTGTTAACATTGACCTTGATTCATCCGTTACGATTTTCTCTCCAGTGTGACCCTGTAGTTGACTTTTTGAACACTCTCTTTTACATAACTGCTTTGCATAACTACTACTACTTTACATGAAATGACCATGTTATACTTATATATGTATTAAATGCCTGTTTGATTAATATCCAGTCATGTTAAACTACATATTTTCAAACTTGCATGCTTTTAGAATTGGGTTATTCTACTGAGTTGTTGATGGTTATCCTATAAAATTGTACTTTTTTCAGATTTGACTCAGGTCAAGTGGACGTAGAGCTTAGTTTAACCAATTTTTTGTGTTTAGTTTTTCTTGGACTGATTAAGCTGAGTTTGTAAATGTAAATAAAGCATACATTTGTAAATGTGGATGTGATACGGGCTAAGACTGAGTAGTTTGTTAGTCGTTCTTAACGTAAATTAGTTTAACCTTTTAGCAAAGTATTTGTCATTTTATGTGGGTTTTGGGCCAAGTTATTACATGTTACACCGTGAGGAACATCATAACGTGCTCATGTGATGCGAGGCATTATACGTTGCATGCCTGGGCGATTTGGGGTGTGACAAATTGGTATCAGAGCCAGGTTATATATGGGTTATGTTAATAATATTAAATGTTTGTGAGTTAACTTTGATTTTATAGGAACCATGACGTTCTGGGATGACTTATATATAGACTACCTACATCTTGGCTATACAAATATGGTGGAAACATATGACGATCAAATCAACATGGAAGTTGTCAGGTTACTAAAAGAGATTATACTGGGTGTGGCTAACACATGGTTGTTCTTACCACCCCAGAACCAACAAATACTAGTGCACCACAGGTTGGAGTCAATTATTAAGATAGGTCGGAGATCTATCAATGTAGAGCAAAACCAAGGATGCTATCAATTACTTTTAAATGAAATGGCAGAGGAACAAGCAAACCATGGCCCCCGATCTGGGCAGGTGTGAAGAATGCAGTTGAGGACCTAGGAGGTTTGGGTGCAAACTCAGTAGAGGATGAAGTTGATGAGGACCTAGATGCAAACTCTTGGGAAGATGAGGGAGAATGTGTAACAGAGGAGTCTAGGGAGACTCCAAACAACTGAAATAACTACTTTTGGGTTATAGCATGTGTAAATATTGGTGGTTGACTATATAACTGTTGAATTATAAATATTTAAGTTACACCCTCTCCAACAGCTTAAACTTTTGGAGTAGATGGTTATTTAACATGGTATTGGAACAGCAGGTCCTATATTCGAATCTCGTCGCCACCCTCATGATTAAAAGAGCTCCACGTGTTAGGCCCAAAATTTAGCCCGCACTTGAGGGGGCATGTCGAAGTCAACAACTTAAACTTTTGGAATAGATGGTTGTTTAATAGTAACATATGTGTGTCAAGTTGACTAGGTGCTATGTGATGATAAATAAGTGTACCAGGATGTGTGTATATGGTTGATAAACTAGAAATGTGAAAATACAAAAGGGTTGGGTGTTTTTTTTTTTTTTTGTATATACTGCTCACTGATATATATTTGTTGTGACAATGTATAGACAATGAATAAATGGTATGCATCGGTGTTTAACAAGCAACAAATGAGCCATAAGGAACAAGCAAACCATGTGAGCAAGAGGATTGCACTAGAGGCACACTCTGCGGTAAATGCGGAGATTGTTGTAAATTTAGCTTAGTTAAACTTAACTAAGAACAAGAGAAAGAGAGCATATAAAGAACAAAAGAAAATGGGAGAAGGTTATATTGTTATTAAAGAATGATCTGCTTAAATACATGAGTTTGCAACTAAAAACCAGAAATAAAAGCAACAAACTTTCTAAACTTTAGCTACTAACATTAACAGCTAGTAAATAATAGAAAATCAAAACAAATCTCCTAAAAACTTGGTCAAAGAGTATATAATGCACTGAATATCAGTTGCACCCCTTAAAACCTGATCTTAAAGACACCTGGCATTCAAACCTGAGCTTGCAGCCTCAGTTTCACATGTGCAGCCACCTCTGCTAGCCATGTCAGCATCCATACCAGCAACCTTGAAGCTATTGATGCACACATTCAACAGAGATAGCCGACGTAACCGAAGCTTGGGGGTAGTTCACCTCTAATAGTAAAAGGAGATTAGTACAACATTGCCTCGACCGTATGGCCCAGATGTATAAGAGGGCGAGTTGTATTAGTAGGGATTCAGGAATACATAAGTAGCCAGACAAAGGTGATGTGCCGGATTGGGCCCAACTTGAACCCGAACAAGGAAGTTCATGGTTTTCAATTCGCCCGGTGAATAAAAAATGGAAGGAAGGGGGACGGATCATCAAAGGAACGAGATTGAGAGATCATCACCATTTGGGGATGTGACCTAACTTTTTGCATTAGAAAGCTACTCTATGTATACAACTATGAGAATAGATGTGTGGAATAGCAAAAATGTGAAATGGTAGGGCTTTTATGTGAATATATAGGGAATGACTAGGGGGGATATGTATATATACCCAAGTGTGCTTGGTATGTGTATGATAGTGATGTGGTTATGTAGATAGAACAGTATTGACCAACTAAGTTGTGTGTGATTAATGGTAATCCTAGTTTGTGAGCCTGATCACTAGCAATGATTTATGTTCAAATTGAACATTTGGATATTTAGGTTTGGTTTATGTTGCAAGGTAAAAAGGATTGACTATATGTTCATGTTGGTTTTGCTTGAAAACCACCATGAATAGAATATAAGTGCACAGAGGACGAGAGACAGAGAGTTTACATTCCAAATTGAGACCTTAGTGGGTTTCATTGAGTTCGTAAATGCCTAGGTGGCCCCAAAGATTAAAATTTCGTTTCGATGCATTGTTTCAGTCACATAAGAAACAAAAATGTTTCGACATATTTCGAAAACATTTTGAAAATAGAATAAAAAAATAAAAAATTTAAGAATTAGTTTTCTAAAACATTGATCGAAATATAACAAATTATCTTGAAATACATTGAAAGATTACAAAACAATCGTTCAAATGCATTGAAATATTACAAAATACCTCAAAATATTATGAAACGCCTCAAAGTATTAAAATTTCGATTTCATCACTGATTCGTTGAAAACAAAAATGTTTTGGAAGTTTCAAAATAAAATTTTGATCTTTGGGTGGCCCAGTGGTCTTCAGGCTTGGGTACTGAATTGATTTGGGGAGCGTATCTTCCTTGGGGTGCAAGTCCCCTAAAGGATGTTCTCATTAATCCTAAGTAGTCCGTTAGGATTTTCTCCTGGCACTATACTTCACTTTCTAAACACTCTTTTACATATTTGTTTTGCATAACTGCTACTGCTTTACATGAAATGATGTTGCTATAGTTATATATGTATCGAATACCTATTTTATTGATACCCAATCATGTTAAACTACGTATTTTCAAACTCACATGTTTTGGAATTGAGTTACTCTACGGAGTTGTTGATGCTCACCCTACAAATTTCACTTATTTCAGATTTGGCTCATCAGGTCAAGGGGTGCAGGCCTTAGTTTAACCAGCCTTTTGGGTTTAGTTTTGCTTGGACTGCTTCAGCTGAATTTGTAAATGTAATAAGCATACGTTTGTAAATGTAGATGTGATACAGGCTATAACTGTGTAGGTTGTTAGCCTTTCTTAACATAAATTAGTTTAAGCTTTTAGCAAAGCATTTGTCATTTTATGTGGGTTTCGGCTGAGTTATTACATGTTGCGCTATGCGAAACATCATAACGTGTTTGTGTGATGCGAGGTGTTATACGTTGCATGGGCGATCCGGGGTGTGACAATTCAAAGATCATATTCTTTATCCTGACACAATATATAACCTTAAGGAGAAAATAGAAAAGATACTATGATTGAGGCCACTCCAAACATAGTAGTTTCTTTTTCACAAGCCCTTGCTCTACAACATTATGACAATGAAAAGATAATCTACCCCTCTTTTTAAGGAGGTGTGACAAATTTAGCCATTTTTTTTCTTGATGGGTTGGGAATTCTATTTGTAATGGACAAGGATGATCAAGAAATCTGTAATAATCCATACTCAAAAAAAAAAATTGCTTTATTTTGGTGCATTGGCTACCTAAGAGTAATTGTATATATATAAGGGTAAAAATAATTAAAGAAGATTAATATGTCTCTAATAAAAGTTTTGCCCTAGAGAGACCTATTAGGATTATTCTACATGTGCTTTAAATATGGTAATATTGTTGGATTGGTCAAATCCTTCGTATATATGTATAGATATATTTAGGTTTGATAAGGTCTTTTGGGGAGAAGGCTTTGGGAGGCACCGATCCGGTGAACGAAAAAAAATATAATAATAACGAGAGAGAGAGAAAGGAGGAAAAAGAAAAAGGGGTCCATTAAAGGTATGAATTGATTACTTCTCCTATGGGTTTTATATTTTTATTCAATTAGATGGTGTAGGGTTTACAGTGATGTGTGTGTGTATATATATCTATATAATAAAATAGTTAAATTGTTTGTCTTGAACTTTTCGCGACTAAGATCATTTAAGGAAATTTTCATTCTTTCCACAATTCTAAGACTCATATCTCTTTTATAACTCTTTATCTATAACTCATACTATCTAATGCTCATGCAGCTCACACATCTCTCTCAATCAACTCTCTCTCCCTCTCACATACTGTGACGACCATTATAAGAATTAATCGCTAACACATTAATGAGGTCGTTAATTATGATTCTATATAATTAAGGATTATTTTTAGGAATTTTAAATTAACAAATGGATCTTAAATACAGATTCATTGTGTGAAAACGAGTCGAATGACTGTAATATATGTCATATTTTGTATTGAAATAAAAATATTATAATATTCGAATGGTATAGGCGAATAATATATATTAATTTGTGAAATATCTATATAATAAGGGAGCAAGGATTATTTGTCTTGAGCTTTTTGCGACTCAGATTATTTTAAGATTATTGATCAGACGATCGAAACTCCTCCAAATTTTTTTCTCACTCAAAAATCTTCAAAGTAATTATGATTAGAATTCGAATTTAGCTGAATTTGATTGTCGAGTATAAAGTATATATTCTTACTTAAACTTAACTTTTTTTGAATGTTACGATTATTCAAATTGAAGTCAAATTGAAATTGATTATAAAAATAATAAAGAATAATTAAATTACAAAAAATTATGGTGTCACTGTGAATGGGAATAGATAAGAATTAGTTTGTAGTTTTAAGATAAAAGTGTTAATTGAGTCGAACTTAAATTCAATTCTCGGTTTGACATTATTATTATTAAAACTCGAATTGAATTGAATTTGATTGTCGAGTATAACAGATAATTCTTACTTAAACTCAAATTCGATTGAATTTTACGAATATTCAAGTTGAACTCAAATAGAAACTGATTTTACTATCTCAACAAAAATTTTTACATTTACGAGAATTTGCGTGAAGCTTTTGGATGATTTCCTCACAAAAGTTACACGAACTCGCATTAGAAAAATAGTGCAAAGATGATTAATGTAGGACAGAATTGGAAGGCGGCTAAGAAAAGGAGAAATATTGAAAACGGAGTTGTTTAAGGGTTGCTTAGGGGCTGTGAATAGTACACAAACAATGGATGAACAGTAGAGCTGAACAGTAGCCAGTGAACAGTAGAACAAGAAGAGAATTAGAAGGAAGAGAAGATAGTTCTAGGCCTCACACCTAGAAACCCAAGGCATCTCTCCTAGGGGTTCTTTAGCATCACACCAAAGAAAGGATTGTATCACACAATTCTGAAAATTTCATATATTCATTCATCACACTTCAAAGTATAGAAGTTACATCAATTTATATAGGACTTTAGAAACTAATTAATGCTAAAACTTTTCAAGTCCCAAAAAAATAGAAACAATGAGTGTGTCATGGTGCATGAATATGTGGATACAAGCATAAAAATTCTGTGGTGAATGTATCTAAATGAAAGATCATAAGGCAAATGAAAAGTCATGCAGACTTTTAGGAATCAGCCCATGTTTAGTCAATATCCCAAGTAGGCCAACATCATCCAACATATGTCAAATTAAGGCTTGGGCCTTAGAACCATCCAGCCCACATCTTTTATACACCGTTATTGGACGTTGCCATTTTCCATCAATTCTCCCCGGCTTGAAAGAACTCGACCCTGGCGAGTTAAAAGCATGGAATTTTTCATAAAGATCAGGATTGAGATGTTGGAACTGTTCGTCGGTAATCCAGGTGCAATCTGAAAGTGGACGCCCCTTCCATTTAACGAGATATTTCTGATAACCACCACTTCTAGTTGAAACAATCTGATGATCAACCACGTCTTCAAGTTCATCCTTTAAATATGTGGCTTCTTCTAGGTGATTTGCAGTAGTGGCAGCAGGCTGTAAATCCTGATGGGACAGAGCCATCCGTTTCATCTTATCAAGTTCTGCTAGATCATCATATTTTTTCCTCTTCAAATTAGCTCCTGCTGGTGCTGTTGTACTAACAGCAGCAGAAAAGCTTCCACCCAAGACAACGGGTTGATGTGTATCATGATGTGAGCCAAAATCAGATGAAACCTGAGAAGTAGTTGGTGCCTGAGGGTTTTTCTTGACCTGATATCTAAAAAGACCACAGTGATAATCCCAGTATTCCCATGTCATTTCCCTTAAGCGAACTTCAAGCTTTTGAAAAACAGGAGTTTTTCTCAAAATCTTGTTTATTGTGTATGAGCTCAATAAAATTTACTTCCAAAACACCAACAACCCCCCTGCTTCTACTGTTAGAGTAGCTTACCACATGCCAAAATGGCAGAATTAAACGATTCTTGTGGTAGACATTAAAGCCATGAATATTCACATGTGGAGCTTCCTTTAGAAACCCAATCGTTGTAACAACTGTGCCTTCCACAGATCCACCACTTCGTGGTCTATACAAGATGAATTCTGGAAACTTAAGATCATTGGCAATATTATGGTACACAATAACTCACCCACGTAGTAGTATGCAGAAAGTTTCAGGTATGCGCAAGTACAACACAGACAAATATGCACAAAGAGAATAACGAAGACGGTTAGCGAGATGTTGTCCATTTGCTGTCGTTGGACAGCGACCTTTCTCTGCAGTCTTCGGCTCCCCAACAATTAGAATATCCTCAGAATCTGACTCAAATCAAGCTCCATAGTACCCTCATCATTGAACCATAGATTATAGATGACGGCTTTTGTACCATGATACCCAACATCCTCAAATTGTTTCAGAAGCTCCTCTTCTGTTGAGTATGGAGACCATTGCAGCAGCATGGAAAGATTGGCTATGTAATGTTCTTTACTATGCAAGTTATCCAATGCACCAGTAGATTTATTGACCTCATAATCAACTATGGGAACCACTATTCTGTCATATCCTGCTTGTGTCAAAAAAGTATAAGATAGAAGACCAATGCTATGTCAATTTTCTATTCATGTGGCGGCTGAAAAAAACGACATCCGCCCCAAGTCTCGTGGAACTGGTCTTAAAGCCATTTCCATATTGTCCAAAAGTTGATTTTGACTTTTTAACTGAAAATCCAAAACTCAAGCAGCGCCGCATTGCATCTGGGTCCATCCCACCACCGTCACCTTGAATTAACAATGCTGGGCTTCCATTTCTTGGATTTAAAGTTTTATCTATAATGACAAAAGTGGCCCCATTCCGTATCTCATCAACAACATTATCAAGTAGCTCTGCTATTGCACCAAAGGCCTATTTGTGCGAGATAGCATTTGAGTGAAGGAACTTGGGGTGAATATGTAGATAACTTGTGCCATCTTCAAAATCTGGACCCTTCTTTGTGATATCTCTGGCCGTATCATATGTCTCATACCGCTCTCTTTCTAGCACTTCTCTAGCTTATTCTGGCATGGGAGGTTGTGGTATCTCAATTGGTAAGTCACTTGCAGGAGGAGGATTTGGGACTTGCACCTCTGCTACTCTTTCATTCTCCGCATGACCCTCGATAGCAGCTCTTTCTTGAAAGCGCTTCTTGGTGAGAACATGAAGGGAATTCGGCTTAACACCAGCGTCATCCTTCGGCTTCTTTTCTTTAAATTTCTCCATTTCAACTGCAATCAACAGCTTCAAATGATCTCTTTGTTGTTAAATGAGAAAGAGTATGTATTTTGTTTCCCACAGTGATGTACATCTCTATCATAAAGCCAAGGCCTTCTAAGGAGGATGTGAGTAACTTTCATAGGAATCACATCACACCAAATATAATCACTATAGGAACCATAAGAAATGGAGACAAGGCATCGTTGGGTTATCGGAATAGAAGTGTTGTCAATCCAAGCTACCTTATGTGGCTGAGGATGGAGTTGAATGGGAAGCTTAAGGCGCTCAACCGTGAATGATGATACAACATTCATGCAACTGTCACCATCAATAATAAGCTTACGGGCTTGATCTCCATAACGAACCAGCATCCGGAAAATAGAAGTGTGCCTCCAATCTTCCTTCTCAACTTTAGGGTGCAAGGATACGCCTGACAACCGAAATCAATAAAGTGTCAGTCTCTTCATCTTCTAAATCATCATTATTGAAGGCCCCAACATCAAATGATTCCTCCTCATCTTCATGGTGTTGCTGGTCAGGTTCCTCATTATGCTCCACTCTAAAAGGTCTGCCTGATCGTGTAGTCATGGTACTAACTTGGCTCTGATACCAAAATTGATGTAGGACAGAATTAGAAGGCGGCTAAGGAAAGGAGAAATACTGAAAACGGGGTTGTTTAAGGTTGCTTAGGGGCTGTGAACAGTACACAAACAGTGGATGAACAGTAAAGGTGAACAATACGTGAACAGTAGCAGTGAACAGTAGAACAAGAAGAGGATTAGAAGGACGGGAAGATAGTTCTAGGCCTCACACCAAGAAAACCCAAGGCATCTCACCTAGGGGCTATTTAGCATCACACCAAAGAAAGGATTGTATCACACAATTCTAAAAATTTCATATATTCATTCATCATACTTCAAAGTATTGAAGTTACATCAATATATATAGGACTTTAGAAACTAATTAATGCTAAAACTTTTCAAGTCCCAAAAAGCTAGATACAATGAGTGTGTCATGGTGCATGAATATGTGGATACATGCATAAAAATTCTGTGGTGAATGTATCTAAATGAAACATCACAAGGCAAATAAAAAGTCATACAGACTTTTAGGAATCAGCCCATGTTTAGTCAATATCCCAAGCAAGGATCAAAATTTCGTTTCGAAGTACCGTTTCGGTCAACTCAAAAATAGAAACGTTTCGGAAACATTTCGGAAACGCAATGGAAACGCAGAAAAAATATGGAAACGCATAGAAACACAAATGCAATCCATTAATTTATAAAGATATGCTAAATAATTTATTAATTCAACATATTTATTAGGTTAACATCAATTTATACAAGAATAAATTTAAATTTGAGGGAAAAAAAGGCTTGACTTGAGGCGAAAGTCACTTAAATTAGTTTCAAACACTTAATTTTTATGAAATAAACACATTTTTACATAATATTAAGGTCTTATAATACACATGAAATGCTAATGAGTACATACTTACATGGTTACATCCATTCCCCTGTGGAGTGTCGAGCAGGCTCATACATCGGTGTAGGCTCTGGGTAGCTACTTAGAGAAACTCCATATGTGACATAAATGTGATGACAATAGTTACTCCAAATCATATTATTACGGTAATATAATCCAATTAATAATACTATTTTATTATAATACTAATAATGAAGGGTATCAAATTAAATTAATGATACTTATGTATACTTAAAAATTAAATGTAATTGCAGTGGGTATTAAATGTAATTACAGTAGGTATTAAATATAATTACATTAGGGTATTAAATGTAATTGTTAATACTTATAACAAAAAAAAAAGCAAAAAACTTGCACAGCAGTGAGGTATTAAATATAATTACAGTATGTATTAAATATAATTATAATGGGTATTAAATATAATTATAGTAGGGTATTAAGTGTAATTATTTATTCTTATAACAAAAAAATTATGAAAGACAAAAGAGCAGTGGGAATTAAATGTAATTATAGTGGGATATTAAATATAATTATAGTGAGTATTAAATGTAATTACAGTGGGTATTAAATATAATTATAATGGGGTATTAAATGTAATTATTCATAATGAACCGAATATATCACTGTTTTGTCGAAACGGTTCGAAACAATGCCGTTTCGACCGAAACGGTCCGAAACAGTACCGTTTCGACCGAAACAGTCCGAAACAGTACCGTTTCGACCGAAACACTGGAATTTTGTGATTCAACTACTGTTTCGTTTCGGAGTGTTGAAATTCCGAAACGTTTCGGACGTTTCGGACGTGTCGACACGACATTTTGATCCTTGATCCCAAGTAGGCCCAACATCATCCAACATATGTCAAATTAAGGCTTGGGCCTTAGAACCATCCAGCCAATTCTTTTATACACCTTTATTGGACGTTGCCATTTTCCATCAATTCTCCCCAGCTTGAAAGAACTCGACCCTGGCGAGTTAAAAGTATGAAATTTTTCAAAAAGATCAGGATTGAGATGTTGGAACTATTCGTCAGTAATCCAGGTGCAATCTGAAAGTGGACACCCCTTCCATTTAACAAGATATTTCTAATAACCACCACTTCTAGTTGAAACAATCTGATGATCAACCACGTCTTCAAGTTCATCCTTTAAATATGTGGCTTCTTTTGGGAGGATTTTTTTAAATTAAACCTGTGGGTGTGTGTGGATATTTCTTATTATGATATATATGTTGATAGTTGAGATTGTAATTAAATATTTTGTAATTGTAAATTGTTATACATTGGAATTATGAAAACTTGTGGGATGATTTTATATTATTGTTTAAATGTGTTTTGGTGATGAAAGAAAAATTTTGTGTGCATTTGGACTAAAACGACAGTTTTGGTGTGTGTTGAAATTATGTTTTATAAGATGGGAACTGAGTTACTAGGTCTAAATAGTAACGAGATTGAAAGTATATCGATGTGATCGATATAGGGATGTGCACATTGGGGCCAGTCATCAGGCTAATGATGACAAGAGACGAGATCAGTTTCCACACAATTTTTTTTTTTTTTTTTTTTTTTAAGGGGGAGGGGGAAGGGGAGGAGGAGGAGGGAAGGGGGCTTGAACCCTTGACCTCAAGAAGGCAAACCCTTCATAAGGTAAGGAGTATCATTGGACCAAAGGCCCGCTGGTAGTTACCACGCTAGTAGTGACAAGAGACAGAGCTAGTTACCATACTAGTAGTAACAAACATGATATGACAAATATATTTGAGACTGAATGTGTGTATGAGTGTTTTGGTTTATAAATGTCTTTTCATGTATAAAGTTATTTGTGATCATGAGATTATGTTATTTAAATGATTATGTGAGAGGGGTTGGGGTACAATTTGTTGTACTTATGTATGTATCAAAGTTTATTTTTGTATATAAACTGTGGGACTTATTTTCACACTTCATTAGAGGTGGTTGAAATTCACGGGCTGTTGTGCTTTTACAAACATTTAATATTTTTCAGAAGAGGATCAGGGTGAAGAGTAAGTCTGTAGATATACAAGGGCTTAGAGGACTTAAAGATTTATTTTATTGTAGGTCTTCAAGAAGAAATATTTTTTATAGTCTTGAGACTAATATTTAATTGTTTTGAGAACAATGTTTACGATTTGAGTTGTAAATCTTATGGTTTGATTATTGTTAGATTTAGTAATGATTTTGGTTATGTTTAGTTTATTCCTCCGGTATTCATTAGGTCGATAGAATAAATCACTTTATTATTTGTTTTTCGCTGTATTTTGCATTTATTATGCACAGGATTGGTTGGTTAAGGCTTTGGTGGCAAGTCCGCCCCCACCCTACGTGATCCGGGGTGGGGGTGTGACAAAATCAGTACATGGCAACTCACTCGCTCATGACCAAACTATTATTGTCATATTTTTTGGCTTGCTGATGAGGCCCTTTTTGGACCCAGTGAGATTCTAATATGCCCAAACCCAGTGATCCTTTCTTCTCTTTCCTTTAGTTTTCTATTTTTTTTTTGACTTATTCTACAATATTACTGTTATTACCTGCTACGCCCTTTCTTTGAAAACAAAAGATAAAAGAGAAAGAAAAGGAGTCCACATAACCTCGACAACGCAATCGAATATAAACTTCAAGTTAGGCAACTTTCCCTGCCCAGAATAAAAGTAGAAAATTTATGCAATTTAGGCTAGTCCTACTTACAAAGGCCTAAATTTGTCCCTGACTAGATAGGTACATTATAACTTTAAACTGGAAAGTCCAACTATCTAAACAGACTGAACTAAGATTTGCGTACGAGGTCGGACACTTATGCCTATAGTTCATTTAATTCAAGTTTGAAGTTTAAACTCAATTCTACTAAAACAGAGTTGAGAAAATTACTGGATAATAGTTTCCTGCAACAGGTTGAGTAACTTGAAGAGACCAGTCTGCTCTATAATCTCGAACCTGAAAAGAAACATGATAATAAAGTCTGAATTAGAAGTAGAATAATCAACTGAAGCTTCTTAGAAGATTCAGAAACGAAAGGACATGGATAGGGCAAATGGCAAACCAAAGTAGGCTATAGATTCGCTTTGATCATAAGATGTCTATAAGGCAGTAACCCAGTGGAATTCAAGACCAACATGTGCCTGGTTGATAGATTTTCATAGAAAAGTATATTACATGGTGGTTGATAGATTCTCATAGAAAAGTATGTTACAGCTTTCAATTAACCACAATGGG